TCTGACACACTGACCAGGACAGACTGCATCTTCCCCTCTGAAATTAATATGTTAGAAATCAGAAGCCATTGCAAGTCCACAGAGCTGAACAATGTCATGCATAAATGCGTGTGGCCCACCATGAAAACCATTTAGCGTTTGGCATGCTCTGAACATTACCCACAGGTTCTGGGAGGGCAGGGAGCCAGAGTGGAAGTTTCCTAACATCTATCCACACAGCTCTGAACTGGAATCTAGAGAGCTTCCCTCACCATCTGTAAGGTAAGTTGCAAGCTTCTAGGTAATGACAGGAACCAGGGAAAAAAGTCAAAAGGCTTACTACATTTTTAAAAATAGACCCAAATTATGCTTAACTCAGCCTCATTTTACCAGAAAGAGAGCTAAGAGAGGAAGAAAATCTCTAGCTAACTAAGAACAGAGGCTGTTCTTTTGAAATCTGCAAGTGTAAACAGCAATTACAAATTAACCACACTGGAGAGACCAGGGAGTGGCTTTCACAAATACAGAGATAAGGGTCAAATCTCTAGCTGGGAAAGGCAGCAGAATGCAAAGTGACAATCTTCTTGTAAACCAGCCATTAATTTGTCATTCAGACCCATCTCAAGATACACCCCAGGGGATTACGTGCAGAAAAATTCAAAATTATGCATAAAAAAATTCAATATTATACAAAATTAATGAACTTTTTTCCTAATTAAACTTAATATAACACTACTTGAACCTTCTCTAGAAATATATGCAGGTACTTTGTATGGTTGGGGGGAGTGGAGGTGGGGTGTGTATGTGCGTGCCAGAGAGGATCTGTGGGTGGATGGGGGGGTTGTGAAGGTGTGGGTGAGTCTGGGAGGTTTGTGGGCAGGTATGAGGGTATGGGGTTTGTAAGGGGGTTGTGCGGGTGAGTACGGGGTTTGTGGGTGGGTATGGGCCCCCCACCACATGTTCCCCCTGCACCCTATGGTGCACAGCCCCCATCCCCCATGGCTCAGCAGCAGCAGGTGGGGCACTCGCAGCCATGGCAGGCAGAACCCCCAGTGGCATGTGGCTGAGTCCTGGGGGCTGCACAGAGCCAGCCCTGCCCAGCCCACTTGCATACACCTTCGTAGCAGACCATGCTGGCTCTATGCCAGCACTTGGGTCTTACAGCACTGCAGGTGGGAGCCGCATGCCATTGGGCCAGGTGAGCTCCATGCCTCCATATGGGGTTTCCAGCACTCCAGCGGGAAGCCACATGTGGAGGCACAAAAATTGGATGCTATCAGGCCAGGCTTCCTCTTTGCCTCCACATGTGACTTCCCGCTGGAAGCCCTATGTGGAGGCATGCAGCCGGCTGGCCCAACCCAATGTCGCACAGCTCTCACACATCCACAAACCCCACACCTACCCCCCATCCTGCTGGCAAGAGTTCCCCTCCCCACTTACCAGATGTCCAGTTGTGTGCCACTGCTCTCGGTGCCTCCACATGGGGCTCCCAGCTGGAGTGCTGGGAGCCCCACAGTGGTGCAGGGAGGCACAGAGCAAGCCAGAGTTAAATTATGCTAAATTATGTGATTATGCATGGCCATGCCTTTTATGCACAAAATTGCTCAGGTGCATAATTGCGTAATCTCCCAGGGTGTATCAAAATCAATGCCAATAGCAGTATGGAACTAACCCAGGCCCTGTAACACAGGTGCTATATACGAGAACAAGTCCAGAAAACCGATGGAGGTGGTAGCACTAACTATGCAGGCTCACTATGGTACATGCCTAGACTCCCCCCTAAGCACTTACACAACACTTAGAAGTTGATCCCATCTCCCAACTCCTTTGGAAGACAGGTTAATTTAATTAATTTCTCTTATTGTAGAAAGGATGAAAGTCAGAGAGAAAAATCACTCATCTAAAGTCACACAGCAAGTGAAAGATGAGAACCAGAAGCTAGAAATCAAACTCCTGTATTCCCAGCAAGACTTTTCCCCAAATGTGGGGCTCTAGCCCTCTTCAGTGTCTGAGATGGGACATCGGTATTATGCTTACCAGATAACTAGGGAATGTTGGTTACAAAATAAGATCTAGCTGCAGAGGAAGCAGAAGGATTTTTTTCTAGTGAAGCAGACACATACTTTGGCTGGAAAAGCCAAGAGATCTTCAAAACATGGAAATTTACTGAGATTTTTTAAGCAAATAGGTGTTACTTCCCTCCTTCTGGTTCCCTAGTTTTGAGACTGTCATTACAGTTTTGGACAGCTGAAATAAGGCTGATCACCTCTGCCTGCTTTTAGTTCTTTTTACTCACTCTTTATTAAAACAACCAAATTTTCTCCATCAAGAAAGGGAGGAAAGTAGATCTGGCAAACTACAGGCCCATCAGCCTGACCTCTATCCTGGGGAAGGTCTTGGAATAGATTATCAAGGAGGCCATCGTTAACAGACTAGCTGAAGGCAATATCTTGCGGGATACCCAGCATGTGTTTCTTGCGGGTAGGTCTTGCTTGACCAATTTCATTTCTTTTTATGACCAGGTGACTCATCACCTGGACAAGGGGGAAGAGATCAACGTTGTATACCTCAACTTTAAAAAAAGCCTTTGATCTGGTTTCCCACGATCACCTCTTGGCTAAACTGGCTAACTGCAGCCTTGACGTCACCACGATCCTCTGGCTGGGGAACTGGCTCCGCAGTAGGACCCAGAAGGTGGTGGTCGATGGAAGCCAATCGTCTTGGTGCACTGTGACCAGTGGGGTCCCACAAGGCTCTGTCCTAGGGCCTATACTATATAATATCTTCATCAAGATAAGATAAGAAAAAGGAAACAAAATACCTGGAATAACGTAATGTGCCGGAGTGGTCATTCTATGGGTACCAATTAACATTCCAGCAATCTCTTTCCTCCCCTAATAAGATCCAAGTTGTGGCAGGCGAGAACCAGAGGAACGGGCAGTGTCCCGCTAACCCAATAACAGTGGCAGTAGCATTCATCATGGCTACAAGGGTTGGCCTTTTCTCCACGAAGTGAAACTACTGTAGGCAGCCTTCCTTTTGAGAGTATGGAGTCATTGGATGCCACAAATGGATGCTGTTGTAGTACTCTGAGGTGATGTTCTTTTCTTTAGATGCTTATATGGTGGTGGATGGAAGTCAATCATTGCGGTGTGCTGTGACCAGTGGGGTCCCTCAAGGCTCTGTCCTAGGGCCTATACTATTTAACATCTTCATTAACGATATGGACATTGGTGTCAGAAGTGGACTGACCAAGTTTGCCGACGACACCAAACTCTGGGGTAAAGCATCCACACCTGAGGATAGGAGGGTGATCCAGGCAGATCTTGACAGGCTCATGAAATGGGCGGACGAGAACCTGATGGTGTTCAACACCGAAAAATGCAAGGATCTCCACCTGGGGAGAAAAAACCTGCAGCATGCTTATAGGCTTGGTAGTGCTACACTGGTTAGCACTACAGATGAAAGGGACTTGGGGGTCATCATTGACCACAAGATGAACATGAGCCTTCAGCGTGATGCTGCGGCTAGTAAAGTGAGCAAAACGCTGGCTTGCATCCATAGATGCTTCTCAAGCAAATTCCGGGACGTCATTCTCCTGTTGTACTCAGCCTTGGTGAGGCTGCAGCTGGAGTACTGTGTCCAGTTTTGGGCTCCACAATTCAAAAAGGAAGTGGAGAAGCTTGAGAGAGTACAGAGGAGAGCCACGCGCATGATCAGAGGTCAGGAAAACAGACCTTACGACGAGAGGCTGAGAGCTATAGGACTCTTCACCCTGGAAAAGCGCAGGCTCAGGAGTGATCTGGTGGCCACCTATAAGTTTATCAGGGGTGCTCATCAGGATCTGGGGGAACGTCTGTTCACCAGAGCACCCCAAGGGATGACAAGATCGAACGGTCACAAACTCCACTGTGACCGATTCAGGCTGGACATAAGAAAGAACTTCTTCACTGTCCGACCCCCCAAGGTTTGGAATAGACTGCCGCCGGAGGCGGTTCAAGCACCCACTTTGAAAGCCTTCAAGACACATTTGGATGCTTATCTTGCTGGGATCCTATGATCCCTGCTGACTTCCTGCCCCTGGGGCAGGGGGCTGGACTTGATGATCCTCCAGGATCCCTTCCAGCCCAAATGTCTATGGCATATGATTTCACAGATTTCAAATTGGACATTTGCCAGGAGTCTAAGTACTGCCCCCAGTTTCTGTATAATGAAGGGGGTTACATAGAGACACCAGGATCTGTGCAGGAGTTGGGCTAGATTAAGATTGTTCAACTGGCATCCTTCAGTTTAAACTGCAGCCCCCAGACTCCCTTCCATGTGCTGCTTCCCTCACCACTTCAGCTAGTCTGGGCAGGGTCTCCAGGTTCCCTCTCCATCCTCTGACTTATGCTTCCTGTCCCCACCCTTGGAGCCAGGACCACAAACCCTGGGAGCATGGGACTCTGGGATCCATGTAACCCAGTATTGCACAGGAGCCTATAAAGTGGCAGGAGCTTGAGGTGGCTCACACAATAGGGGCACAGGGCCATGGTGAGATCGCACAGCAGGGGAAACACCGTTGGACAGCCCGATTGTGCAATTCTATGAAAATGCTATATCCCCTTTGCCTGGGACTTGCACCAAAATCAATTTGTTTCTAGTTTCCAAGTATACAGCTCAGAAAGCAATCTATCTGTAGCTTTAATATGACTAATATTTTTCATTTGTGCTAACAGTCCTGAGTAAGACTCAAACACCGCAGTTTCCTACACTGAGCTTTTTGCTCTACTCACCCTTTAGAGACATCAGCCTCCCTAGTGCTGTTTAAAAATGCTGACTGCTCAAATGAAGTGAACAATCCGATATGAAAAATGCAATTACAAATGAACACTGAACCTCTGGCATGGACTTGAGAGCAACACTGGAGTAAAAGCTTGTAATGTGGTCTTCTCCTCTATGCACTACCAAATGCATGGTTTGTCTCTGGATGCTCCAGTCTTTGTAATCAATATAACTAAGATTAAAATGAGTAAAGATACCTCACAAGACGGAGCGAGTCTTTGCGGATGTTCACCAAACTTCTCAGGGTCTTCACAGGTTCATGTGGTGCTGGGGTTACATAAGGAAACTAGAAAAAAAGACATAGGGCTTTGTTAATACACCAGATTAGTGTATTAGACTTATAATAAAATACAATCTACCTACCCTATACAAAACGTGTCCAAACAGCCTCAAAATACCCTTCGTTCTTCATTTAACCAACTACAATTGGCACTAACCAGCAAATCTGCTAGAGATATTAGTAGACAGACTACCTGAATGGGCAATGGAGACTGATCACTCCTCTTCGGCCCAGCAAAGCATCCTAAGTACACTGGCAAGGCATAGTGGAGACCTTGCCCCGGATCTTGCCATTTTATTCTCAGGAACAGACAATTTAGTTTCCATGGCATCACTGCAGCACTTTATACCAGAATTAGATGCCCATGTATTAAAGAACTGAAAGTATGAGGATTGGAAGAGGGCCAACATTGTGCCCATCTTTAAGAAGAGGAAGAGGGAGGATCTGGGCAACTATAGGCCAATCAGCCTAACCTCTGCCCCAGGGAAAATCCTGGAAAAGATTGGCACCAATATAAGGAAAATTAACAGTATTGGCAATTGGCTTTTTTTGGCTGATAATGTCACCGATAAATGCCCCCCATGCATGCATACAGCTGCAGCACAACACGCAAGCAACCAGAAGCACAGCT